AATTCCCTCCCTCCCTCCATCCCTCCCTTCTTCTCTTCTCTTGCTTCTGTCCCGCCAGTCCCCTTATCTTTTCACCACTCGTGAGTTCTTACCTAAAATGGGTCGTTTGGATTTGGGTCAGAAGTGTGATGGGCTATTTGTGATACGCAGGACAATGGAACAGTGAAGAGAGCCGGAAAAAAGAAAGGGAAAAGGGAAAAGAAAAGAGAAATGCAAAGATAAACTAGGGCAAAATAAAATAGGTTTTCATTCATTCCCATAAAAGAGGATAATGACAACCTATATAGAGGAAAAAATCATGAAAACGATCTAAGGATTACAGTTGGATAATCTACTCAATATGCCATCTCAGTACCATTCTAGGTAGGACTTAGTTTATATAAGACAAAGGAAATTAAGGGGTCAATGTGTAATTTAAGGAACTTCTAATTTAAAAGATAAGGGACTTCAAATAAACATTCCTAAAACTCTTTAATCCTAACTAATTGACCGTTATGTCTCAACTATGTAGCGCAATGTATAACTTCCGCAAGCTCCTCTGTTTTACTCCGTATCCGATCCCCTTGTCAAAATCTTCCTTGTCCTCAAGGAAGAAAAGAAGGGAATCTAACCATGAAGGAGTGGTAGTCTTCCCAAGTAGCCTGCTCAGGAGGTAGTTGATCACATTGTATCAAAACTTGAGTAACTGCCTTGTTCCCTTTTTGGACCATGCGTCGATCAAGGATTTTCTGAGGATTTGGGCAGTAGGGGCTGGATATGTCAAGGACAAGAGGGTGAGAGATATTGGCAGGTAAGTTGTGGCATAATTTGAGTTAGGAAACATGGAAAGTGTGATGGAGAAGTAACGGGGGTGGGAGGGACAATTTGTATGCCACAGGATAAATTTTTTGTAAGACTTGGTATGGTCCATAGTACTTAGCTGAGAGCTTTGAGAAATGGGAACCTGATAGTGTCACTTGTCTATAGGTTTGAATTTTGAGGTAAACCCAGTCTCCCACTTTGAATTTCCTATCTGAGCGATGCTTGTTAGCCTGAGTAGTCATTCTTTGTTTTGCTCGTTGGAGATGATGTTTGAGGAGTTGCAGTTTGAATTCTCTTGTTAAGAGGCTTCTATCAACCTCTTCGACAGCTGAGTCACCTGCTACATAGGGTAAATGGAGGGGGGGAGGTTGGCCATACAAAGCCTCATATGGTATTGTTTGTATAGAAGAGTGAAAGGTAGTATTATACCACCACTCAGCAGAAGAAAGGTATGAACAACAATCAGATTGTGATTCAGAACAAAAGCATCTGAGATATATTTCAAGGCATCTATTGATGACTTCTGTTTGGCCATCAGTTTGAGGGTGGTATGCCGTGGATATATTAAGTGTCACCCCATGCATAGAGAATAATTCCTGTCAAACTTTACTGGTGAAGATGGGGTCCCTGTAACTTACTATGTCTTCAGGCATGCCATGAAGTTTGTGAATCTGTTCCATGAAGAGGTTGGCCACTTCTGATGCTGAATAAGGGTGAGAGAGACTCAGGAAGTAAGCATACTTAGTGAGTCTATCAACTACTACAAGAATCACAATCTTTCCTTTTGATTTGGGTAGTCCCTCTATAAAATCCATGCTGATACTACTCCAAGCTATGACTGGCAACTTCAAGGGCTGTAGGAGTCCTGGATAGGGAGACCTATCATACTTATGCCTTTGGCAAATGTTACAGCCATTGACATAAGTATGAACATCTTATCTCAACCCTTTCCAATAAAACAGTGATGCTATCCTCCTGTATGTTAGTTCAATCCCAGAGCCCCCCCATAGGGGAATCATGCCACAGCTGCATAATGTTCTTCTTCAAGCTAGAGTCTGGACCAATCACCAATTTGCCATGTCTTCTAAGTTGATCATGAATGAAAGTGTAGCCTTGTACCTCTGTACCCCTCTTTAGAGTCTGAATCAAGGCAGTCAAGTCTGGGTCTAAGTTCCAACTTTGAGTGATCAGACTAAGCAAGTCAGTTTGAATAGAAGATAAGGTAAGGGCAGCTAGTTCAGCTGCAGGCAGTCTAAATAAGGCATCAGCCACCTTGTTTTTCTTACCCTTCTTGTACTCAATTATGAAATCATATTGCATCATCTTTGCTATCCATTTCAATTGTGACCATGTATGCAAGGAATTTTGGAGCCTTTTGGTCAGTCTTCACTGTCCTTCTTGAGTAAATCAGTAAGTGGCTTGCTAAGAACTCCATAACCCCTGATGAATCTTCTATAGTACCCAGCTAGGCCCCAAAAATCTCTTAGCTGTTTGATGTTAGTAGGTTTAGGCCATCCTTGGATTGCCTCAATTTTCTTGGGGTCAGTTGTCACTCCTTCAGCAGAAATATAATGTCCTAAGTATTCAATCGTAGTTGCTGCAAATACACACTTACTCCCTTTAGCAAAAAGCTGGTGTTGTACCAACAATTCAAAGGTGAGTCTGAGATGTTGCTCATGCTCATCTAATGTTTTGCTGAAAACTAGAATATCATCAAAGAACACTAGGATAAACTTTCTCAAATATGCTTGAAAAAATATGGTTCATAAGCCCTTAAAAACTAAAAGGAGCATTGGTCAATCTAAAGGGCATGACCAAGTATTCATAGTATCCTGAGTGTATTTTAAAGGCTGTCTTGTGCACATCAGAGGGTGCCATTCTAATCTGATGATAGCATGCTCTTAGATCTATCTTTGAATAAATTTCTAACCCTATGAGTTCATCCAATAACTCCTCAACGATAGGTATGGGAAATTTATCCTTAATTGTGACTTTGTTTAGAGCTCTATAATCAACATACAGTCTCCATGAGCCATCCTTCTTTCCAACTAATACCACAGGTGAGGCATAAGAGCTAGAACTATACTTGATGATCCCTTGAGCCATCATTTCCTTCACCATGTCTTCTATCACATTATTTTGTATTGGGGAGTATCTGTAAGGTCTAGAATTAACAGGAGCACTGCCTTCAACTAAGGGAATGTGATGGTCAAACACTCCTCTTGAAAGAGGCAAATGTTTAGGTTCTTGGAAGAGTATGCTATATTCAGTGAGTAATGTTTGGACTGGTATAGGAATTTCCTCTTATTTCTGAGAGCTTGCAGTTGGAGACATGTTGGCAGAACAGACCTTGATCATGAAGATCTTGATGTCTCCTAACTTACACAACCATTGAATTCCCAACACAACGTCACAACTGCCTATAGGAAGCACTAGGAAGTCATCTTGGAAAAGAACCCCTTACATGAACCACTTGAAGACCTTGCTTCCCTTAACATATTGGATGATCCTGCCATCAGCTACAGATACATTGTGAGGGTGTATTTGGCTAATTGTGTAACCTATTCTCTTGGCAGGCTTCTCATTGATGAAGTTGTGGGTGGAGCCACAATCAATGAGAACATTTATAGGATTTTGTTCAGGAAGCCCTGTATCCTGAGAGTTTTGTAGCCCTTAGTGCCATTCAAGGCTTGCAGAGATATTTCACAGTTCTCAATAGGGTTTGCTACTTCTTGAGGCTCTTCAATATCCTACACTTCCACCTCTGTTTCCTCACTGTCTCCCAGTTCTTCTGTATTTATTTCCATGAAGTATATGCGCCTTTTAGCCTTGCATTTATGCCCCGGTGTGAACTTTTCATCACAGAAGAAACATATACCTTGGGCCCTTTTCTCATCAATTTTAGCTGGTGTAAGTCTTCTTTTCCTGAAACCATCTAGGTTGGCAGTCACAGGTGGTTTGTAGGTAGGTGTAGCAGCCTTTGCCCACCCAGTAGAGCCTTGTCCTTGAAGTGTTATTACAACATAATGCTGATGCACTGCAGATGCTGCTTTGATAGCCTTGCTTTATGCAATAAAGCTGGCCTCATGTAGCCTGGCCAAGTAGTAGGCTTGTGGTAAACTGCTAGGATTACCAATTCTCACAACATTGCTGATTTTAGGCTTAAGATTATTCAGGAATATACTAATAGCATGTTCAACTGACAGATTCATCTTAGTCATTACACTATTGAAAGCCTTTTGGTAATCCTTCACACTCCTAGTATGCTTGATATTCATAATCTCAGTCATAGGATCAGAATACTCAGCTCCAAAGCTATCACATAAAGCCCATAAGTATTCATCCCAAGTAGGAAGTGGCATTTGTCCTCTACTTCTCATATAGCCTAAATGCCATTGTAGAGCATTCCCTTCAAAATGCATGGAAACTAGCTTCATTTTCTGCTGGATAGTAAGGTCTTCATCGGAAAAAAATTGCTCTACCTTGTACAACCATGTCCTAAGGTCTTCACCATTGAACTTGAGAAATTCAACCTTGTGGTACTTGGTAAAAGGTATACTGGGTAATGTCACATTGGGAGTGTTTGAGTTGTGGAATTGGTTGGTGGTGGGGACATTCTGATAAGGATAGGGAGTGGATACTTATGGGGTCTGGTGGTATAAGGGTGGTGGCATATGTGTGCTTGGATTATAGTAGGCAGAAGGAAATTGGCTGGGCTGGTTATATGTTTGGTGGTATAAGAGTGGTGGCACTAGTGGCGAGCCTTGAGGTTGTGTGGTTTGATAATACCTTCCTGGGTGATTAGGAAGGTGGGGTGCTAAGGGTACTATTGTTCTAGGGAAGGGGTTTTGAAAAACCTGCAACCCTATAGCTAGAAAAGGAGAAGATTGTAGCTGAGAGGTTATGGGATTCTGAATATACAGAGAATGACTAGGGTTTATGGGAATTTAAGGAGCTGAGGTTGTAAAGTTGGTAGTCGAATTAGTTTGAGTGTTAGGAAGAACCGAGCTAACAGCAAGGAGGTTCACTGGTATTGTAGAGGTATTAGCTCCATTAGAGCTAGGGGAAGCTAAGTCACCAAAATCAAAGGGTTTATCATTTGGAGAATAAAGCTCACCTCCACTTTGGGTTACCGATTTGTCACGTTCTGGCCTCTTTCCTCCGTGGATAACTTCATTGAGCACTTCTCTAAGCTCACTCAAAGCTTCCTCCTGATTCTTGTTACTTTGCTCTTGGTTTGCCTCCAACAGACTTTGTCTAGCTGTTAAGCTTGACATATCGAGTGAGATATTTTTGAGCACCTCCATAACATTGCTAATATTATCAGCCATGGTCATCCACAGAGCCAAGAATTTCTCTGATACCACTGATACGCAGGGCAATGGAACAGTGAAGAGAGCCGGAAAAAAGAAGGGAAAAAGGGAAAAGAAAAGAGAAATGCAAAGATAAACTAGGGCAAAATAAAATAGGTTTTCATTTATTCCCATAAAAGAGGATAATTACAACCTATATAGAGGAGAAAATCATGAAAATAACCTAAGGATTATAGCTGGATAATCTACTCAATATGCCATCTCAGTACCATTCTGGGCAGGACATAGTTTATATAAGACAAAGGAAATTAAGGGGTCAATGTGTAATTTAAGGAACTTCTAATTTAAAAGATAAGGGACTTAAATAAACTTCCCTAAAACTCTTTAATCCTAACTAATTGACCGTTATGTCTCAACTATGCAACGCAATGTATAACTTTCGCAAGCTCCTCTGTTTTACTCCGTATCAATTTGTGAAAATGGTGTTGATGGAGTTTTGCATGTTCAGAATTCTTTGGTGCATTTTTATAGTTGTTGTGGGTTAATTGTCTTGCAAGGCAGGTTTTTGATGAGATGCAGAAAGAGATATTGTGTCTTAGAACAACATCGTGAATGGATATGTGTAAGTGGGTGGATTAGTTATTGTGCAACAGATGTTTGATTCAATACCACACAGAATTTGGTTGGGTAAAAATATCATGATAGCTGGGTATTTGAATTTGAATAACCCTCCAAAGTGCCTAAAGTCATTCTGAGAAATGGTACAGAGGGGATTGAATAAGAACGATGCAACTGTAGTCATTGTGCTTACTATTGTGCTTGGTCAGCTCGAATGAACAAAAGAAAATCTGTTCATGGGGATCGAAAATTGGTTCGACATTCTTAAAAAGGTGAAAGAACGAAAAATGTGGGGGTGGGGGTATTGGTTAACATGAAGGGTGAGAAAGAGTATGAAAAAAGACGACAACAACAGCAACAATCCCAGTATAATCTCACGAGTGGGGTCTGTGGGGTAGTGTGTACGCAGACATTAACCCTACCTGGAGGGTAAAGAGGTTGTTTCCGATGGACCCCCGCCTCACCCGAGGACAAGACATTACTCCTCCATCAACTACTCCAGGAACTAGATCCTAAGGGAGACAAATCCAAAATTATCACTGATACAAGGTAATAGTTAGGCTAAAGAAGTAAACTAAATTTTTTATCTTAGAGGACTAATTACAAGTACAGATAAGAAAAAACACATACAAATTCAATTGAACACCCATAAAATCGAAGTAACTCAACTAATCGGCAGGGAATGGTAAGCAATCCGAAGTAGACTAGACAACACAACTTTAGGGTACGGGTAATCTCGCAAAAATTTGCCTTAACTAGAACAAATAATTACTAACAAGGAAGGGGGATAAGAAAAAGTGACTGGATGCCCGGAGGTACCAACTCCAGAGGGAAAGAACTTGGATATAGTCGGGGAGTCGAGGCGTTGCTAAAGAACCAGACGAGTCGGTTACAGCCACGTGCCGCCATGCGCCGCCACTGCCGCTAACTGTAACTGTTGAATTGTCGTCGTGAACCCTACATGCCACTCTGATTTACTTGGAAAATGGAAGGAGAAGAAGAAGAAAAAAAGGGGGTCGTCGCTGCCTCTAATACCATTGTACAGTGGGTAGTGGAGGTGGGACGGGAAGGCAAGAGAGGCGGAGAGTAGAGGAGAGGTGAAAGAGAGGAGAGAGAAAGAAGGGGGAAACAAAAAACAGGGGAATAAGATAGGGTGGGGGAAGCAGCAAAGAACAGGAAAAAGAGAAGGGGGTTCGAAAGAGAAGGGTTTCCGGCATGGGGGAAAGAGAGGAGAGAGAAGGGGGGAGAGAGGAGAGAGGAGAGAAAAAGACTACTTACCTGGCGGGTTTCCGGCGAATGTTTCCGGTGTGGGTCACGGGCGTAGGAAGGGTGGGTGGGGGGCAGAAGGACGTTAAGGAGAGCGAGGAGAGAGAAAGAGAGTGAAGAACCAACATCTCAGATCCTCAAGTGAAATATTTGAGTATGAAAAAAGAGAAAGTCAAAAAATAAAAGGGAAAAGTCAAAAAGGTTATATTTTTGTTTTATGCAAAAATAAAAAATAACATGGACTATTTTTATTTGTTGTGGATTCCTACATTAGGTGATTGAGGGACACACAATGTCGGAGGGGTTTAAAATATCATTTTTGAACAAGTTCGGGTATCCAGCTGAAATTCTATGGGATAGGAGACTGGGATGTCAAAACTGAACAAGTAGAAGTGTCTATCAGACTATTTTGCCATCTTGGTTAAACATACTTCAACAATTTCTAGTTCCTATCGTGATCTCTAGATAAGGTGTAAGCAAGTTGTCATTCCCTTTGAATGCTAACTGAGCTTACTGAAAATTTCTCTTGAAACCATGTCTGTCTTTTTTTGATTAGGTACATCTTTTTTGTTACACTACTGAGCATCCCAGAATCGAGCTTTTCAGATGCCTTTCGAATGTTTGACCTTGACAATGATGGGTATGTCATTTTGCTGATACTTAACTCTGATTATCCTGTTATTCTTTTCGCTACTGTGATAAGCTGGTTTGCTATTGTGATACCCTTAGAAAATTTATTGTATAAGAAGATTATGTGTACTTCATTTGTAAATATGCACTTTTGTAACGGCTAAGCAATGAGCTTAAGTGAAGTGACATAATTAGTAAGGATTCATATAGCCTATTGCTACTTGCTTGGGATTGAGCCCATAATTATTGTTATCATCTAGAACAACTTTCATGCATACATTATAGAGTCCAATTTATAATGACCCATCAATGACATCAACGAAATTTTTAGAAAAACAAGATTCACCTATCTTATAGTTGTTTTAGAACTTCTGACTAGTTTCATGAACAGAGGAGTTGACAAGGAAGAATTCAAGAAAATGATGGAACATATGCGAACTGCTAATAGACAAGGTGCTTGCCATAGAAATGGACTTCGATTTGGACTAAAAGTTACTGGTTCCGTAGAGGAAGGAGGACTCTTGGAGTACTTCTTCAGCGAAGATGGAAATGGGCGCCTTGAGCAAGAAAGATTTGTACAGTTCTTAAGAGATTTACATGATGAAGTATGCCTTCCTTTTACTTTCTATCCCAAAAATACAATCATCTAATTCACAATACCTTTCTAGATAGGATATCGTATGTTGTTTATTTGGTTCCAAGCATCAATTCCCTCTTGTGCATTTCAGATATTACGTTTGGAATTTGCCCATTATGACTACAAGTCACAAGGAAGCATTTCTGCCAAAGATTTTGCTTTATCAATGGTTGCATCTGCTGATATTAGTCACATCAATAAGTTTCTCGATCGAGTAGAAGATCTGGATGATAAACCACATTTTAGGGATTTACGCATTACGTTCGAGGAATTCATGAGCCTCGCTAAGCTACGCAAAGAACTTCAGTCATTTTCTCAGGTCATCTTAAGCTATGGGAAAGTAAACGGACTCTTGTCTAAGCAAGAGCTAAAAGGAGCTGCTAAGCAAGTATGGTCTATAAATTGTGTTCTTATTATGAATTGTGTTCTTTCATAATTTTACCAAATTTACTAATAATGATTCATGTCCTACCAGGTTTGTGGCATATCCCTTACTGATAACGTGGTGGATTTGATATTTTTCATGTTTGATTTGGATTATGATGGGTCTTTAAGTTCAGATGAGTTTTTAAGAGTATTGCAAAGAAGAGAGCCAGAGAGTTCAGAACAAAGAGAGTCAGTTTCCGGGAGCTTCTTCTCTGGCTGGCTGGACTCGACAAAAACTAGTTTTGCTTCCAAGACCACTGGCTAATTGATTTTGATTTACTAACACCTTTTCACCGTTGAGAGAATGATTCAAACACAACGGATACCGATAAAGATTGTAGGGAATCCAACATTTTGTATTTGTCTTTTATCAATAGGAATTTTATAAAGGGAGTTGAAATTTCAGATTTTTTAAATCTATGCATTGTACAATATCTGCATGTATAATAATTCATTGATAAGCATTGAACGTACAATAGTTTGTGTTATTCAACATATCAGAAAACTGCTGTTATCATGTTTCACTCATTTACCGACAAGAACTGTTCAAAATTAGCCAATAAAAAGTGAAGGTTTTCAATTGTAAAAGTAACTACAAATAGACAGATTAAAAAGAATGACAGAAAGTTCAATAAGGTACATTGGTACTTTTCTGTGAATAAATCCATCTCAAGATCTAGAAAGTGCTTAGAATAGATTTGGATTTAATAAAATGTCATGATCCAAAATCCCACCAATGATCGTGATGACACCTAACCTCTAATACTAGGTAAGTCAAATACACAATGACACAAACATTGAAATAAGATATATGACTCTGAATTTTTAACATAAATTGCCGAATTCGGTCTCAATGAAGCCAAAACATAAGTACATAAGTCATCTTCCCAAAACCAGATAATATCGAGTCATGAGCTCTAAACAGAATACGTCGAGTCTCAATAAGTATAATATTATTTGAAAGTAAATACAATAGTATAAAAATAAGAGAAGTGGACTCCATGGGTGTGTGGCATCCATGCAGTACTACCTTGAATCATTTCGATCTGTTACAAGCTCACTCACGATGTCCGCTACCTCCAACACCTGGATCTGCATAAAATGTGCAGAGTGTAGTATGAGTATACCACAATCGGTATCCAGTAAGTATAAAGACTAACCTCGATGAAGTAGTGACGAGGTTCAAGTCATGTGATACTCACTAGTCAAAGAACCTGTGTAATATATAAAAACATGGCAACACGTATGTGTGTGTATATATTTATATATATGTCACCATCGTACTCCATATTTCGTCACAACAACAATATCCATCCTTATCACTCCATACAATAACAATATCCATCCTTATCGCTCCATACCCCGACACAATAATAATATCAATCATAATCGCACGGCAAAACCTCGTGCCAATGCCCAATTAGTATGTCCAACATGTCCACAAGTACCATAATCATAATCAACAATATGCCAAATTATCATCAAAAGACATACGCTTACAATTTGTCAATAAAGTGTACAAGGACATGATATTAATAAAATACGGATACGGGTTCAACATATAAAGCATGACTACAACTAAATCAAATTAGCAATGGTTCCACAATTGTCCAACTTGGTCAATTAGAAAATTATAAACCTAAAACATGATCTCTAGCATGAAAGGATAAGCTCGCGTAGTCATACAATGAATTATACATGTATCGTAAAGAGTATACAATTAAATAAAGGCATAGTAGAGGCCTAGAGTCTAATTCGGTCATTTTTCATACATAGTACCTACATATACGCTCGTCACCTCGCATATACGCCGCATCAAATGCATTACAATTAGACAAATAAGGTCTAGGTCTAAGGATTATTGCCTCACACAAAATTAGGCAAGATACTTAACTCAAAAGGGCCAAATCAATACCTCAAAAATGTCTTTCTATTAGAAACCACCTCCGACCGGCACAAATCTAGCAAAAAACAACTCAATAACGTCAAACAACGCCATAGGAAACAACTCCAAGCAATAAAGTTTCGATCTTTAATCAAATCTCCAAAGGTCAATAAAAGTCAACCGCAGGCCCACGCAGTCAAAATCTGATTCAAGAGACATATCCTGACTACCCATAACCTCACGTCCAAATATATGATTAGATTTCGAAATGGAGTCCAAATCAACTTCCAATAAAATTCTAAGTTTTAGGTGTAAAAATCCACGAGAAATCAAGTATAAAGCCAAATCTAAGTGAAATTGTTTTACCTCCAATGTAGTAGTGAATTTGCTCTCCAAAATTTTCACCTCTCAAAGTCTAGGACTCAAAATGTGGGAGAATGGAAAAAATATTCCGAAATAATAACACTTAAGGTATGCCTCAGTGATACACTTTGCGAATGCGGTCACTACCTCACCTTCACAAAGCACAAAAGTACACTTCCCCATAATAACTCTTCGTGAACACAGCCCCAACCCATGAACTCCAAGCATAAGTCCCACTGGCCTACGCGAATGCGATAACACTGTCGCGAACGCGAAGGCTTAGCTCCAGCCTTCCCCCAGCATGCCATCCTCCTACACGAACATGACCTCCCAGGCGCAAATGCGAAGTTCAATAAACCACAACCCTTCGCAAAAGCGTCCCTCTTCGCGAACATGAAGAACAAAAATACAGCAGCTTAAATAAGTCTCCGCGATCGCGAGACCTACTTCACGATCGTGGAGCACACCAGACACCAACAGTCATCAGCACTCTCAACCAAGCTCCAGGTGGTCCGAAACTCACTCGAGCCACCCGGGACACCGTCCAACCATACCAACAAGCTTGTAACCACTATTCGGACCTATCCAAAGTCTCCAAACACATACCATCACTTCACAACAATGAATCAAATACGAAAATGCAAATTGATCTTCTCTTAAATTTATGAACATTCAATACGAATAATTAAGAATAATAGGTAAATGAATTAAAGACAAAATAAGTTATCAAACCAATCACAATATAATGACCAAGCCTGATCTTAGATTGAACAGTAGAATTCATCCTCGATTGGACCCGTGATTCAAGCTTGGTTGCGAGTGAAGAAAAGAACAAATGAATAATGCCTTGAACATTAGCTAGAAGACAAAAGTAAACTTTTTATTACTATGATTTGCGTGTTACAATATGTCAGATCAAAGAAAAACTTCCCATTTATATAATAGGAGAATTTAGTCCTAGTACAAGTATAAAAAAGATAAAAATCTTCTTTTTCCGATAATTGTTGATCTATAATTGATACTGAACGAGATTCACGCCGTAATATCCGATTGAGGGCGAATATTACGCCCCCTATCCGTCATGCATTACCGTTCATCGCATCTCCCAAGGCCCACAAGCTATACTTGGTTCGGGGTACGTTGCTTTACCGTATTCAATCTCAGATACATCGTTCATTCTTCCAGGTCTAGATATGAGGGTTTCCTAGCCTTGATTATAATCACATCGAGACGTGCTTACCTTTTGTTCTCTCATCGGGGAATTAGGGAAACCTTTACCCCAAATTTTACCCGTACACAAATAGTCCCCTCGTTTTCCGGAGAGTAGATTTATCGAAGCGACGTGAAGATATAAATTAACCCCGGTTCCTTCTTCCGTACGTTAAAATCGAGTTGACGGGTCAACGAAACATCCTATCAGTCGCTTCGTTCTAACTTCGGACACATGTCAGCCATTGGGTGACTGTCCTCGAATGCGAAACGTCACGCATTGATTATCCTTCCTCTATAAAAGCTCTGACCCCTTTTTCACTTTCCGATTCCAGAACTCTTTGACTTACCCTCGAATTCTCCACTTAACTCTAACCCCTTCAAATCTTCATGCATTGCTTTCTAGATCTTCATATCCTCATCTTCAAATCTTCATAATCCTTCCTTAAATCTTCAAATCAGACTTCATACCTTCATCCCCATCCTCATATCTTCATTCTCATCTTTAAACCTTCATATTTTTCTTCAAACTTTCATATTTTTTCCAGAATTCTATGGCAAAAACATCCAAATCCGTGCCTCAACAAGCCACCAATTCATCTTCCAACCAGGCCACGAATGCCGAGGTGGCCGTTCCTGAGGTGGACCAAGAGCCTCCTTTGAAGAGCTTCATTCCCGAAGGATGTTCCATTGAAATCAACTTCAAAGTAGGGAAGGCCTCCAGTCAACAAGACCGAGTCGAGGGAGTATGTGGTACATATGCTCCATTACTAAGGACACACTCCCCCCAGTTCGGGTAGACTGTAACTGGGAGAGCAAGGAGGTGGTCATCCCCGGACCCAACGAAGACATCACCACTCATGTGGAAGGGTAACTAAGTGTTTATACTTATTCCTTCACACTCACCCTGATGGACCCTATAATCCTCGATTTCTGCAAAAGGTACTAGGTCTTCCTTAGGAAGATTCACCCATCCTTTTGGAGGATCATAATACTTCTCCGCCACTTTGTAAACAACACCGAAGCACCTCGGTTCACCCTCGACCACCTGCTTCGTCTTTTCATTCCCTGAATCTTTTGAAGGGGGTTGAGAAAGCTCGTTCGTCGAGCAAGAAAAGATCCATTATCGAGAATCGATGAAGATCGTGATAGAGGTTGGCAGAGGAGGTTCATTTGGGTGAAATTGAAGACCTAATTCCCCCCCCCCCCCCCCCCCTCCCCCAAATTTCTGCCATTCCCTGAAAAGTGCAACTCATCCCGTAAGTCTTCTCCTTCTTGAGTACTTGGTACTTCCTTTTATTCTTTTTCTACTTGCCTGTGTCTACCGTTGTGCAACAGTCACCTAAGTTCCTAATGAAGTCCCTCGTTTCAAGGAGTGTATCAAGGGGATTTGCAAAAAATTGTCTTACTTCGAGCGCAAATGGCGCAATCTCTCGAAGGGAAAGTGGGAGGCCCGTTCTCATGGTGAGTCTTCCTCCTAAATAATTACATTTATATACTTAACTTTTATTTCTTCTAAGTCATTTCCCTTTCACAGGTTTGCCCAAGACCACCGAGCTTCGGCTATTGGATGAGGACTCCATCCTCGCTTGCTGAACCCTCCGCTTCGGGATAGCCCTGAGCTGCCGCAAAGGAGGGGAAAAAGAAGAAAAAAAGTTAATCCTCTAGCTCCCCAGACGCCGAGGTTAAGAAGAAGAGGGTAGCTGTTCAGGTCTTGAAAAGCAATAAAAAAGGTATCAAAGTTAGGGTACCGGACCCCGATTCCCTCTTCTAGCTCAGGGATTATCCTGAGGACGATGACCTGAAGTTCATTGCTCACGGGTCGACCATCGACGAAGGAGATCAGGCAGCAACCGAAGAAGGTGGCCAAGATGCAGATCCTCCTCTAGCTCGGGATCCAGTGAGAAGTCGCTTCTGCTTGAAGGAAGTAGCCGGTGTCATCGACATCGCGGAGACGTCATCCCACATAGAATCTATGTTCGAAGAGGCTCAAGCCAATAAAGAGAAATCAAATGAGATTCCACG